TCAAAATAAAATTTTATGCAACTTCCTCATTAAATAACCTAAATTTTGTTTTGTGACTTCCTATTGGTTGAGACGCCCTACCTGGACCATTGCGCATGCACGGAGGACATTTGATAGGTTGTAATGAAAATGACCAGTTCTGTCATTACTGCCGCTTGGATTTGGTTCAACTATAGACTCTAAACTGGAACAAGATTATGCATGACAAGACTTTTGCGAGACGAGACGAGACTTAAGGCTGCGAGAGAAGACTCGAGACAAGACTTTTATTTCATCGGCGAGACGAGACAAGACTTTATGAAAGTCTCGTCTCGTTGGTCTCGTGGGAATCACTAAAGAGAGAGAAAAATATAACCGATTATTGTGATAACCAGTTATTTACTAAAGGCTAATCGTATAAGGTTATTTTTCTTACAAAAATAAACCGGTTAACCGATAACCGGTTATTTTCCAATAACCGCCCATGCCTACTAGTGACAGTAAGGTAACCTTAGTCAAAGGGGCCTTATTGTCAAAAAACTACTGAGAGGTTATTCCCATATAAAAAAGGAATCCTTTTCATGAAATATATCTAGAATTTTCCGCAGAATCCAGAAATGTCATAATATACGGGAGCTACGATTTAAAAAAATAAAGTTGATAACCGTACAGCTGTTCTTGGAACACCCTGTATACAAAAATTTATGTGAAAAAATGTCAAGCAAAAAAATCTTAATCGACGTGTTTTTGCGTTTTTATCACATATTTCATCCGAAAGCTCTAGCGAATTAGTTCCAGTTAAAGTCTCTACCCTGTATATTAAATGGAAAACCATAGGTACTGCAGTTGTTTCTCTCACTTGCAAATAGACCCGCCCTCACAATTTTATTTCAGGGTAGCTGCCCAAGGAAACAATAGGGGTTTTCGAGCGCTTGACCGGTAAATACCATTTACTGTCGGTATTTACCAATTTAATTTAAGCGGTTTGGTAATTCGTGGTCATGACCTAAAAACGAGCCCTTGGTCTTCGTTTTGACGTTATTCTTCGACATTGACAAGCAGCGGTATTTACCGGTAACAACTTTCGACCTGTTTTTCACCTCCCACCATTTGTTGATGACAATTGACTTACATTTGAAAAAATTAATGGTGAACGGTGAACGTTTCTTTTTCTTTTTTGTTTATTTTGTTATTTGCAATTTGCATTTGCGGTTGTGTTAGTCCAGTGGTCCAGTCCCAGTTTCAGTATTTTAAATTTGTAATTTAAATGGATAGAAGAGAAAGGTTCCAAATCCTCTTGAACTATGAAGGAAAAGATTTTCAACGTCGACGATATGGATACAGCCCAAGGAATATTAAATGCATCTTCATCTTTGAAAGAAACGAGCGAACCAGAAAATAGAAAATTAATTGGAAAATAATAAGAATATAATTGTTTGATTAGAGCTTAAAATGTAAACAAATACAAGGGGATTAAGGGGAGGGGAGAAGCAGACAAATTTGACAAATCAAAACCAAAATGATAACCAACTGTGATGATCCAGAAATTTGACCCTATAATTACAAAGTCTTTACTGTAAAAATTAAATAAATAATCAAACAATCAAAAACTTAATTCCGGTATTTTGAAATCTGTATCGATAAATTAAAAATAAAACCAACTAAACTATCGTATTACGACACCCGGAAGTCGTTCATCTAAATTAAATTCTTAAAAACTGATAAAACCGAGGTGGTGTCATCCTAAAATCCGATTCAATGATCTTTATTTAGCCAAGGCCTTTCCGTTTAACACACATTGAGTCGAATGAATTATGGATTCTTGAACCCAAAACGTCTTGACCTCAATAAATCAGATAATTGCGACATAATTAGTCGATTTTTGGGCTACAAGAATGATATAATATTCAAGGAAATTGCATCATTCTTTTAATAACAATGAGGCCGTCCAATGAAATTCGGATTCCTAAGTTAACGACCGCCTATATTGACGATTTGGGGGAAATTTAATAATAATTTTGTGGGTGAGAGCGATTTGATATAAAACTCGCGGAAGATAGTTCCCAGTGATCTGAAGATAGTTCCCAGTAAACAGTTGCCAGAAAACAGTTGAGTCGTCCATTTGAGTTAAAGTCTGTCCAGGTTCGCGAAAAGTTTCTTTTATGGCTTATGGCCTCGGGTATAAATTAACTTAGAAAATTTACGGAAAATCGAGAAAGTAATAACAGTTGAAATTTCGTTCAATCAATTATGTGCGTGAAGCTAAATATTTTGAGTAGTTAATTAAATAATTTTACGTGTGTTTTATGGACAAAATGTAAGTACTTTATAGTGACAAGATTTATTTTGATGAACATGACTTTGTGTGAAATTTTACTAGAAAACTTTTGATTTTTAATTTAACGGTGGAACTTTATTACAACGAAATTAATAACTTGAGTGTTTTATGAAGGAAACATTATCGCATAACTTTAATTACCTTCAGATATAATGACATTTAAATGTGCAACAAAAATATGAAGAGTACTTACAATGCATTTAACAATATTCAATTTTGAGTTGGAAATTATGAATTAAACAGTTGGATTTATTAGCTAGGCATAGGAATCCGAAAATAGAATTTGTTCTAAGAAACTATTAACTGCAATAGGAAATTTTAAAAAGAAATTTGATGACATAATAGAATTGTTTTCTTAAAATATTGGAAACTAGTTAAAAGGAAACTTATATTAGAATTTGTCTGATTAAATAAACTAATTAAAAGGAAATAGGATGTTTCGTAAATTAAACTTGTTCATGAAATAGAATTGTCTTAGAATATGGGAAAGCCGTTAAAAGAATTTATTGTCCATGAAATGAATTTTGAATTAGGGAGTTTATTTTACAAGTAGAGGTTATTGTAAGATTTTATGAGAATAAATTAGTTATTAAACAAATAGGTAATTATTTTGGGTTTTTATAAGTAATGGACTTAGAGATTTTAAGGAATTATTTGACTAGGTAAAGGGTAGTTATTAGGAATGATTTCGATGTAGTAAAATAAATAGAAATATTATTTTGAGAAATAGTATGAATAGGGCGTTTCGTATTAAGTAGGCATATTTCAGTGGTCCGTATAATAACAATATAGAACGGATGTGAAGTATTAATTTTACAGACTTAAAGAAGGATGTAAAGTATTGGGAGATATTTGGCTAATTGATTTTTGAGTTTTATGTGAAATAAAATATAATTTAGTACACCTCCTTAGTTTGTTTCTCTCTCTTGCAAGTAGACCCTCTTCCACAGATTTTAGATAGCAAGCTCCAAGTATATAAACACCATCAATATACCGCTCGCCATTTACCATCTAACTAAATTACATAGTGTACGTGGGGCGAATTGCTACACAACTAATTTCAAGCGTTTTGGAAGTGCTTTGACAATAAACTGTCAAACGAACGTCAAAGGACTGTGACCCAGGACAACCAAGGGTATGACTGCGGTATTTACCGGTCAAGCGCTCGAAAACTCCTAATTACTTCGGAAACGACCGCTCGCTTTTACCTAATAATCCAAATAATAGAGTAGGTACTTGGCGCAGACGCTACAATATCCATAGTAGCATAGATACCACCATTTAGTTTTGTGAGATAAGCACTTGTTATTTACATTAAATTATCCATTTTAGTCACTCTAGTGAAAAGCTGTAACTAAATAAATCCGCTCGCCAATAACTATCATCGTATTCATCGTTAACAGTGATCAGCGTTGCCAGACTCTTAATATGGAAGTGTGGTACACAATGCTCAAAAACTGTCGTACAGGGACGTACGCGCCACGAATACTTGTGGTACACAACCTTACGTTTTTAGTACATATGTATTTACTAGAAAAAATATGATTTATTTGAGAGCGTAAAATGTTGAAAACTTGAAAATAGACCTTGCATTAAAAATTACAACAACAGGAGTATCGGGAAATCAAATAAAACTATTTATTGAAAAAATGTCTATCCGAATAATCCTCGAACATTGATAAACGCTAAAATGCTCAAAAATTTTATAACAACTTTCTCAAGCTTGAAGGAATTTTTCGCGAGGATAATCAAGCATTATCTGATTATGCTGGGTTATGTAATGTGCCAATCAGAATCTAGTGAGATATAAATAGGTACTATAGGTCTGTTTCTGCAGAAATCACAAACCAGTCAGAGCGAATTTCATTGGTTGAAAACCAGTCAGAAAACTAGTTTCAACCAATGAAATTGACTGACTGGTTTGTGATTTCTGCAGAAATAGATCTTATATAAACTGATAAACTGTCAATTGTGTCATACTCTACTCCCCTAACTCCCTCCCCATCAAATTTTGGGCCTGCAAGTGACGTCACTATCAGCAGCTTATAGTTATGACATCACCCGCAGACCTTGATGGAATGCTTGCGATTCAAGCTGTGCTAGTGAGTTTGTGAATTTTTTCGTCGATTTTAAATGTAGAAAAAATAATTTTCGGTCTGTTTTCTCACAAGAAATTAAGTGTTCTTGATTCTCGAGTATCCCAGAATTTGATAGTAAGAGAGTTGGGGGAGTATGGTATGACACAATTCACACATCACATAATCCAGCATAATCGATTAATTATGCTTGATTATCCTCGCGAAAAATTGCCTATAGACTACTGTTTTCAAGCAACAAGCTTTGAAAATCTGTCATAGATTTTTTACCCAATTTGGCCAACACACATAAGAAAAAAAGGAGAATGTAAAAATGTGGTACATAATGCCATAAAATATTACCAATCAACCCAATATTTCAAAACTGTGGTACATTACCGTACTACCGTACGCATTGATTCTCTTGTAACGAATATGCCCTAAACTGTCGTACAAATACTACACCTGTCGTACGTCTGGCAATGCTGACAGTGATACTAGGATCGGACGCTACAACAGGAATAATTTGTTTAAGATATTGAATTTTTAAGATCTGGGAAGTCAGGGTCAATCTAACGAAGTTATTATGACTTTGGTATTTTACTTACCCAAAGCTCTTTTCCCCACCAAAAGATGATTCATGACCGGCGTAGCCGCTGGGGCGGGTCGACCAGACACAGCCGACGTAAAAATGACGTGCGCCTGCCTCTGGCGCTGCTTCAACTTGACATACTGCTGCTTCAAAGCCCCAATATCCATTTTCGGATGTAAACTGATAGTGGGCCGGGTGTTAATTGGTGCGGGCGCGCCCCACGGCGTGATGTTATACAAGTAGTGCTCCCTTAAACTTTTCAGTTCGGTGATCGGCCCGACGGCTACGATGGCTTTTATAAGCGTATTGGCATTGATAAGGTTGGATTCTAGAAGTTCTCGCGTCAGGGCGCCCATGACGCAGTAAAACTCGTCCGCTGTGCGCACCGATAGAATTTGCTGCGCGAGCACTTGCCAGATGGCGAGCGCTGTGCGCAGCAGAACTGCGTTGCCTTCGAGGAAAATTAAGTCCCAGACGCGCAGGACCGTTGGTTGGGGCAGACAGTTGCAGAAGAGAGTGAGAAACCTATACGTGAGAAATAGTGTTTCTTGTACGAAAAATTACAAAGTGAATATTTTACCATTGCATAGTGAAGACATTGGTCAAAGGCGGTTCGTAACTTCTGGCGCCATCTTTGGCTGCGCTCTGCAACAAATCCAAGTGCTTGGATAGACGTGGCAACTTGCTGCGCAGTAACTCCCTGAACACGGCCATGTCGACCGACAAACCGCGCAGACTGTCGGCGAAATAGGAATCGGGCAAGACGCCTTCTATGAGGTAAATCATCAGTTTTAGGGCGTCGCTGGAGCTTCTGTCGGTCACTTGCAGAATCAGGGCGGCCAACATGTTGAAACCCTGACAATAACCTACGGAAATATTTAGTTATTTTACATACCTAGGGAGGATACAAGAAATATGCAATGCGGAAGAAAGATGCAAACTTACCTACTGCCTTGTTCCATCTGGCGTAAGCCATTAGAACTTTTTTCAATAGAGCTTGATTCTGTTGGCCCTCGTCGCCACAAAACAAGCTGCAACCGGTTCGGTGCAGGTCTTTGACGATCTGGATGCCCAGTTCGTCGTCGGCATGATGCGACCAGTCACCGAAACAGGTTTTTTCGACTTGAGACCAGTCCACCTGTTATATGATTATGATTATATACTTCTTTATTGGTCGCCAAGTTTAAGATTACAAATATTAAACCGATATTAATTTTTAAAAAATTTCAAATGTTATCTATTATTACAAGATAACAAATATCAATATCAAATTCATTTTTGCTTCTTACCCCTCTCGATTCCAGATGTCGTTCAGCCATTGTGACCCAGAGCCGTCGTCTGAACTCCGGCGGTATTCCCCCCGGAAGTTGAGCGACCATTTTCATGGCACCCACCCATTGGGCGAAGTCGGACTCTCCCGGAGTGGTTGGTTGGATTGTAAATCGCATGTCTGCTGCAGAGGCACCTGGAAAGTTTTCATATTGTTTGTGAGGCAATATTTTTTCATTTTTTGGTCTATAAATTCAGATGCAGAAAAAAAAAATCCGAAAGCGAAGAAAGAAAGACCAGGAAGAAGAAGATTAGTCGATTAGGACAAATGTTGATCCATAGAAGGTCGAAGTTATGCTTCAAATGGCCGCTCTGCAAATTTCCATGAAGAGAAATGCTAAGAGTGCTGCGATCATCCACGAGAGCGCACGAAAGGAAAGGCAGTATTGAAATCAACAGGGAACAGGACCAGTAGCCATTCGTCTAGTAACCAGGACGTCAATCCAACGAAAGAAGAGCCATGCATCATGAGGGTACTCAGATCTGAGAAGTCAGAACGGTGTAAGGCGTTACCTTCAGGGTCCTTATTTTAAAAACAGGGGAGTAGCGTTCCCAGGAGAACGAGTGTTTTGTCTTTCTCAATGATATGGAAATGATAATATAAGTAACAAAGATGGAGCACTCGTTCTTCTGGGAACGCTGCTCCCCTGTTTCAATAATAAGGACCTTAGATATAAGGACCCAGGTCGCAGTCGACTTGAAATATTAGGTCTGGTTCCAACAAAAAACCGTCACATGAACGGTTTGGAAACTACTCTGTGTACGAATTTCAGATTCTACGCACAAATTTGTGACGGTACCTATATTACACAGTTTCCTACGGTGTTGGAACAAAGCTCATGTGTCTATCAAGAAAACTGATGATATACTCCTTTACAGTTTTTCAACAACTTTAGCCATAGTTGGAAGCAGGGAAATTGGTCTAAAGTTTGAAGACGACTCTTTGTCTCCCTTCTTACCTTGAACAGGAACAGAGGAGTAACTTTAGCAAATTTCGAAGAAGGGAAACTATCTGTTATAAAGGACAAATTTATCGCCTCTGCAAGCACATACAGAATTCGATCAGGAGGCTTTAAAAGAATCTTCAAAGAAATATCATCCCATCCAAAGGAATTTTTGTTTTTTATGTCTGCAAAGACCCTCCGAATTTCAAATATATCCGTCAGATAAAAATAAAAGGTGTCTCTGACCGAGACTTCCAAGTTAGACTAAAACGTTCTTGTCAGGCTTATATTCGCAGATAAGTTCGCCGCTATATTACAATGAAAAGAATTAAATTGATCCCAAGTAAGCCTGGAACTTGAAAGTGGTATTTATTTCATCCTTTTTGTTCAATTCGTAAATGTAAGATCGGTTTTGCTCAAAAGTTAACCGTTTAGGTTTCACAGCCTGTCAAATTTGCAAAAAAATCAAATGAAAAAGATAGAGGGGGGTGACATTTATAACCAATAACCCTGTACCTAATGTCTTGTTTTGGACTTTATTATTCATATCGTTTCTCATCTGTAAAACCAAGACGGAAATACATTCTCAAGTGAATTTCATTGGTTGAAACTAGTTTTCTGACTGTTTCTGACTTCTGACTGTTTTCAACCAATGAAATTCGCTCTGACTGGTTTGGGTTTGTGATTTCTGCAAAAGCAGACCTATTAGAAACTAAAAAAAAAAAGGTTTGCAGTGGTTTGTAGTAGATTTAATTAATATATTTTTATCCCATTTTGACGTTTAAAAATGACATTATTCAACGCATAACAATAAAGGTAAGTAGACGTTTATCACCTCAGTGATTTAAAAATATTTTAACTCACTCTCGGCATTTTAAGTTATTCTGCCCAACTAAAAATCTGAAACCTCAGTGATTTGAAATATTTTCAACTCACTCTCGGCATTTTTCCTCGTATTTTATTTTTTAAATTTCCAAAAAGTGGGATAAAATTTTGTATGCATCACGTGAGTTTAAATGTTTATTAATTCGAAGAAAATAAACCCACTCGCTAGGGCTCGTGGGTTAAACTTTCTTCTCATGAGTAACCATTCATTTAACTCACTTGGTGTATAAATAACTATTATTTACGCGTCTTTTGATACAATCAATTTTTTTGGCAAATTTATTTAATGACATATTTTAAGTACCGACGAAGCTTTTTGACGCCATTAATTTGTTTCAGTCAATTTTTATTTGTTAAAAAAGGAAGGCAAATGATGTCAAAAATACAAACCTTCGTGAAGCAAACAGTACATTTTTCATACGTATACAATTGATATATGAGATATAAATTAAGAGTAGATTTTTGGTATTTTCCAAAACTGCTTCAGTAGATTTTTAGTAGATTCATACAAAGAAGCTAATAGATTCGCTAAAAAAAACCTGGCAACGCTGCTTATCTTCCCGACTCACTTGTAGAAAGGCAATGAGTACAGAGGCTTAGCTCAGCCTCTCAGCAGGAACTTTATTCTCGAAACCGGAACAGCATTCTCATTGGAATGAAGATTCTGTCTTTGTCGTCCGGCATAACACTGACAATGACAGAGTAATTGTTCTTATGAGAACTCTGCTCCTTGGTTTCAAGAATCAAGTTTCTGCTGAGAGGCATGAGCTAAGCCGCTGGGACTGTCTGAATGTACCCAATGGGATAGTCCAGACGATAGGTTGCGACTAGAGGATGAGACTCCCCCATCAGGAAGATCTAATGGAGATTTGCATTATTTTAGGCATCAAGATGACGTCATAAAAGTTATCAGCCAACCTACCTCTTTTATTTTTCGAACTTGATCGGAGCCAGCGCTAGGTAGTCGAATACGCCATCAAACAACCTTGGTTTCAAACAATGAAATTCACTCTGACTGGATTGTGATTTTTATGCGAACAGACCTATTATGTTATGTCTTTTTTTTTTGTTAAGTGGTACTAAAACGGACTATAAAGTCGACAAAATTTGCATCTATTGCTTTCTCCACTCACCTGTCTCAAAACTTTAGATGTGTACGTACAGCATTCATACGAAAAAAATATGGTCACCCTACTGAATGAACATAAGCAGTCTAAACTGTACTCATTTGTAATGACGTCATTTTAAAAAATAAACACACATTGCACAGACAGAATGTCAATTTGACAATTTATTATTTATTGTGTAAGCAACTTTTAGTATCTATTTTGCTATTCTGTTTTTTGATTCTTTTGGTAGCAATGGTAGCATAGCATCATGACACAATATTAATCTCCAAGCCTAGGGGGGGGGGCAAGTGCCCCATTTGCCCCCCCCCCCTTATGGACGCCCCTGTTTAGAATTGAATAAGATACCATTTTTTATTCGTAAAATACCATTTTTTGAATGCTAGATACCATTTTTTATTTTTTCCATCTGGGTTATCTGGCAACACTGCATCCTGCAATCACTAAAACCGCTCCCCAGTGTTGAATTTTCAAATTTCTTAAAGGGGGTGTGACCCAAAAATGAAATTTTTAGTGCAAAAAAATCTAAAAATAAATATTTAAACCACATCTTGCTACGCTGGTCCGTTTTCGAGTTAAGGCGGTTTAGAGTTACACCTAGGCGTTTGTGACGTCACACTGGATTGTCAGGGACAGTATTAACACGTGTAAGAATTTCCCAAAACAAAAGGCAATTATCTCCTAGAGCGAATTTTAACCTCTCAAAGTAGGTATATGGTACAGTTCACTGACGACTGAACGAACAGAATACCTACTGCGATTTCGGCGGTTGTGACATCACAAAATCCTGCATAATTTATCTTCACAAGGAATTTTCTCGGAGACTATTTTGAATATAGGTACTACGGTTTTCACGAGAGATCTTAAATTTTTTTTCTGGATTTAAGTAGCTTAAGTGGCTATTTGGGGTCACACCCCCTTTAAGCACAAGGGTAGGGTAATCGTTTTCTAAATTATAGGTACCAAATTGTAGTCATCTGCCACATAAGATATTTTTGAACTGTAACTGTAGCGTTGAAAATCTGTAGGCCAAAACTGGAGAACAGAAACTTCAACTCTTTGTTATGTACAATATTTACACTTTACACGGGAATAAGATGGCTATAGGCCAGGAGCTTATGTTATGTTTAAGATGCCATAAAGGCAGAGCTGTATTTTTATACAATGAATGGCAAAAACTTGAAACTTGGAGGAGCTCCTCCAAAACGTTTTTCTCTTTATGAAAGTTGGAAGAGAAAATGCTGAGGAGTGAGGTGACGTTTTTAGGTTGCCTTTTTTCGTCCACTCTTCTTCTCCCATAATTCATGATAGATGACAGAATAAAACATTTAACTCCAAGAACATTCAGATTATGATTACTTTTAACCCCGGGTCATTTTTTAATAGGAACACCTATTACTAGTTACCCTGAACCTGATTTAACCGAGATTCCATCGAACAGATTAAAGTTTTGGCGGTTGTGTGTACAGATGAAGCAGCATTTCTTTTGTATGGATATTTTCTGTTCCGTAATAATGACATTTGAACGGATGTGAAATAATTTGAATTGGGAAAAATAGAAATGACGTAGCCGCTGGAGGAAATAAATATCATCCATATACCGCTCGCCATTTACCATCTAACTATTCAAATAGAATACTTGGGGCGTTTTGCTACAGTATGTTTGCGATTCAGGTTGTGCTTGTTTTTTCGTCGATTTTAAGTGAAGAAAAGTGATTTTAACAAGATTATAATGTTTAGGAATTCGTTTTTTTGACCTATACTCTTTTAAACTCGGCTAAGCCATTCACGCCAAGTGTTTGCAGCTGAAGCTGAAATAATAGCCATTTTCAGCTCAATAAGCAGTCCTATATATACAGAGTGAGTTTTTTAGTATGGAATTATCTCAAAATCGGCTTGTACGATTTCTATGAATTTTGGTGTGAACAAGTATTACAATATGGCCGATATGAGCTGGGTTCGGCTATTTAGCGCGGAGTTGGAGTGGAGTAAACAGACACAGAGCTAATGGAGTCACCCCTAATACGGTAAAAAACAATACCCGAACCTTAACCCGAACGGCTGGAGTGCGAATGGAGTCACTCGAAGTGCATTGAGTGAGCAAGCCGAACCCACCTACGGTAGTATTTACACGAATGTCAGATTTTTCGTTTTTCAGGAAATATCTGAAATTCTGTTTTTTCAAATGGATCACCCTCTATATTATGACATTTCTGGGTTCTGCGAAAAATTCTAGACATATTTCATGTGCAATAATATACCTATCTTCAACTGTTTCCGAATGATTGACAGTTGAAAATAGACTTTTTCACAACTTTGACAGACTGTAAAATCTAAACGGTCGATTTTACAGCAAAATCGATCATACAGTCTTTTCTTAGTTTTTCATAAACTATCATTCGACACCAACTTTGAATTTAATCCATGATCAAAAAGTTCGGTTAAATTTAATCTCTGGGTAAATTCATAGTTGGTATCAAATGATAACTTATGAAAAGCTACAGACAAGAATGTCAAATAGATTTGGCTGTAAAATTCGCCGTTTAGATTTCACAGCCTGTCAAAGTGGCAAAAAAGTCAATTTTTAACTGTCAATATTTCCGAAACAGTCGAAGATAGATATATGATATTGTACATGAAATATGTCTAGAATTTTCTGCAGAACCTATAAATATCATCATATAGGTACAGAGTGATCCATTCGAAAAAACAAAGTTTCAGATATTTCCTGAAAAACGACAGATCTGACAACCTTGCAAATACTAACATATTATCGGCCTTATTGCAATACTTGTTTTCACCAAAATTCATAAAAATCGTGCAAGCCGTTTTCGAGAAAATTGAGACGTTCCATACTTAAAACTCACTCTGTATGTAATTATGTATATACCATTATATCATCAACAAGCAATCGCGATTTTATTTCCGCTTTTTTGGGATTCCCCCAGACATATTAGTGTCGACAGGTCTTTCCATTTTGTATTCCAAATAAGAAAAACAATAAAATAAAAACAAGTGCTCCCCTACATTTTTCTGGCCCAGTCTGGCCCCCCCTAACACTGTTGGATGATCAAAAATTTTAGGACAAAAATCGCAAAAATAATTTTTAATATTTCGCTGGGCACTGGCTCTAAAACCTCAGAGAGAAAAATCACGAAAATGCTTTTCAATCAAAAATAAAAAAATGGAGCAGAATTGAAATTGAAATTATTAAGGGAGTAGGTAGGTACCCATATTGCAAGGAAATTTAATTCTCAAATATTTCAAAGAGCCATATATTTTAGAAACCAGAAAAGCTATCGGCACGAAATTTTGTCGAATAAGTAGATCTCGATTGGGGCTTCAAAAGATATTGTTTGGGGTACCGAGCCCTATAGGACTTCTTTTTGGAGATAATAATCGGCTTTGAATGTTCTCCGAAATTTGAAACAGGAAACAGAGTGTCAAATTTGAGACTCAATATCTCGAAAACCATTTGATATAAATTATTCAATTTTATTTTATCTTGTGAGAGTGTTTAACTCTGATTAAGAATACTACAAAAATGCATCATAATTTGTAGAATATTATTTGAGACATTTGAGTTATAACTAGGTATGAGAGATTTTTTGAGGCAATGTCGGTCGGGCGATCAAAATTTTTTTAGGCCAAAAATGCAAAAACGTCTTTACATTAATGTGACATAAATTTTACTCATTGTGACTTGCAAACAAACCTAAAAATTATAGCATAATAATTAGGTGAAGTAGGTAGTTACGTTGATATCTACCTTAACTATTTACGTAGCTGTAAGCTGTATTGTATTTACTGGGGTAGGTATAATATAACTAAAATATTTTTCATGTATAAAACCAAAAAGTTTTTAGAGAAAAATAGAGAATATTATTGATTTTTGAAAAATTCATACTACATCAACTCTTTATACCTAGATTCTAGATATTGAAACAGAAACAATAATTTTAATTTGAAAATAAAATATTTGTAATTTTTCTCTCAATCCTCCTTGTCACAAAATTGATTTGATTCATCCCCATTAGCTAAGAAGCTAAGAGCTTAACTAAAACCTTGTGCAATGCATGCACAAATTTCAGCATTAATTGATTTTGGAACACAAAAATAAATTGAAACTAGGTATAAACAAAGCAAAGTCATATTATTTTATTCCAGCTTCTAGCCACATAATTAATAAAATCTCACTTACTTATTTTTTCTATACCGTTATTAGCCTTATTAGTTTTATTAAAGGAACTCAGGAAACCACTCATATTGGAACATATTATTTTTTCACAATAATAGATAACAGATAACAAAAAAAAATAATAATATTTCAGCGCAGCACCAGCACTAAAACTCAATCATAAAATAGGCACTTACTATGAGGAAATGATTCGGGAAAACACTATCTATAGCAAGTTAAGAGCATTTCCAACGTTTACGTGGGTGGAAGTTGTTTGCAAAAACTCTTAAGTCCCGGAGGACGTCAACGCGGAAAATCGATTTCTATGAAGCAGGCGTCGGAAAGGGAGGCATCCTTCATAAAAATGGACGTAGTTCAGTAAATAAAGGCATTAAATTCATAAACCAAAGTTTAATTATTTGAGACATTTGAGACAGATAAGGAAATTACCAAAGTTATAAGAAAAAAACCAAAACTTTTGAAAAAATATTCCATTTCGCATGCGTTGTCCTTTTTTTTTTTTGTGGGAAAATGTTTCGAGAATTGGTTTGAAGTTTTGCAACTGGACATAAAAAAGTTAAGGAGTTAAATGGATTGGATTGAAATTTTCTAAATAAATAGAGGAAAAGTTGAAATTTGGAAAAAGAAATGGGAAAATTCTTTTGCTCTTTCATTTCAATGAAAAATCAATCATTGTTACTATAATTATTATTATTATTATTTTTTGAACAAACCTTTATTTTTAAAGGAGCAAAATAAAACAAAGTTTAGGGTAAAAACTAAAATTTATTAAATTCATTTTTAACCAAGAAAAAAAACAATAATTATATAAAGAATATGCATTTCTAGGAACAATTACTTAAATTTCGACTAACCATAATATGAGCTATACAGAAAAGAAGATCACCCCGTTAATAGTCCAATTCTCATAGGTTTGACATTAGAAAAAAGAAACCGTTAAAATTCTGAAAAACAAGTAAATTGGACTCAATTTTCTTTGTACAATATGTATATTTATTTACATTTTATTTTTTTTAACACAATATAATGTATCACTTTCCGCCTTGGACAATAATAATTATTATAAAAGGCATTTCAATATTATTACATCCAGTCAAGAGGAAAACCATTCACTTGAAAATTTACGAAACTGAACATAGAAAATTTCTATGGCAACTTTAAGGACTAGAATGTAATGGCTCCATTAGAAACTTCTACTTGACTAATTTGAAATGAAAAAATTATGAAGATAAAACTTTGAGAATCACTAATTTTGGCCTAATAATTATTCAACAAATATAAGAGACATTTCTATTGAGCCAGTTAAAATTCAATCTTTTGCCAATGATCACCCACTCAATCAATGTTCCTCCTTCTGATAAAACTCAGTATTAAACCGACTAGTCAATATATACACTACAGCCTCGTAGGTGGCCATCATGATGGCGGTGTTCGGAATCTGCCGCACCAATTGCGTCGTCAATCCTCGATAACAACCTCTGATCCCCTCCTCTTTGAGCACCAAGTGTAAAGTTTGCCAGAAGCCCGTATATCGATTGCCTTCTTCACGTAGCCGCGTCCTCGCCACCTCGTGAGGGTATGCTATACAAGAGGCGATTGTTTTCGATATTGCCCCAGCCACCATGAACTCCAAAAAGTCTTTGGAGCTTCGCGTATCGGTGTCGTTTCCACGATGGGCAATCAAATGGGCCTTGATTGCTTCGTAGATCACAAAGTGGATGATTGTTTCCGAGATGCCCATGTAGGAGGCAGTGATACCTTTGTAGAAACCTAATATGCCCTAGAAAGTGAGAAATTAATCATAATACGGAATAAGATATCTATTCCTTGTAGCAAATTTTTAAAAAGTAATAAGAATTACATATTACTTACAGATTTAGCGTATATCTGTTTGACACACTGCAGAGCAGTCATCGGGTTTTCCTTGTTGACGTCCAACTGCAGTCGAGTTTTGACAAACCATATGGGGTTGGTAAGGGTGCTGGCCATGAAGCCAGCGCACGAGGCGGAACAAACGTGAACCACTGGCGAGTCAGGGGGCAGCCATCTGTTCCAGAACCTTTTCGCCTGGGAGTAGGTGGAAAAGTAGACAGCTCTGGAAGGAGCGACACCAATGAGGTTTGGGCCTAATCCTAGAAAAGGAGTTGAAACATGTAGTGATAATTATACCAAAAAAGTACTTTTGATTGATTGAAATTCACCTTTAAATAAGGCCATGGGTCCTTCGTGTCGAACAATATGCCGGATAATTTGCATGATGCTCATGTCGTTGCCGATCCTCAACGGTGGCGGAGGCGGCGCCGTGAAACCTGAAAGAGCCACAACTTGAGGCCGAGCGTACCGTGTAGATGTCCATAGTCTACGCTTACCTAACAAATAAGGCAAAGCAAACTTACACATTTGGTTCTGACATAAAAAAAAGCAAAGCTTCTGTTTTTTTTTTTCTATTTTGAAATATTATCTAATGTTTACTGCAGATAATATTTCCCCGCCAGAGGGCGATAACTAAATAAGCTACTTACCATTGCTACAAGGGGATTTTATATTTCTAGATTGTGGAGGTGCTTCACTTCCTGGAGAGGCCAGCATACTTCTACCATGAGAGGATTGCTGACGGGTTTTTACCACTTCTAGAGGACATGTTACTATTGCGCCTACTGTACCAGCAACCCTACAAAAATCTCGTGCTTATTGAATATTTATCATATTTATACAATATTTCATTTATAATATGACTAAATTTATTAAGTCGTTAAAAAGGAGTCAAAATTTTGAAATTTTAATTTTCAGAAGATTTAATAGAAATTATGTACTTTGATAGTGCAGTGTGTAGCTCCTTTTTCAAGTAGGTATTAGAAGAATTTTCTAAATAGAAACAAGCAAGAGTTCGGATAATTTCAAGAATTCAGATCTTTTGAGAAGGACTTTTGTTTATTTAGAGACTTCAAAAATTTCAGTAGGGTAAGTTTTGAAAAAATTGAAGACATTCAAGCTAAAAGCAATTCGCATTTGTTAAATTGAAACTGGAGTGAACTTCATCACATAAATCTTTTCATTTGAAATTAGCAAAACAAACAATAAACATGTAAACAATAATTTTGGCAATGGAAAAACGTTGTATAGCCAAAAAGAATGAATAATGATGTTTGCCAATTTTTACGATTTCTTACTAAATGATAAATTCTAGTAAATATTTACCAAATGTGCTGTAATTAACTTGGAAAATCTCAATGTTTTGTGTAATGCATTTATTGTTCTCTTATCATTAATAGTAGATTATACCACGAGTCAATAATGATAGCTATTATTCCCGTGGAATATTTACGAACTGAGCCGCGTTAGCGGCGAGGGAGTAACATTCCCAGGGAATGATAGCCATTATTGCGAGTAGTATACTCTACTTTATTTACGACAAATTAATTTATTCGAAATTTTCTTTCCAAAAACGCTTTTTGTTCATCCATCTCAATATAAATACACAAGCACTACGCGTTTGACACTGACACTTTTGAGTTTGTTCAGGTATATTCTTTCTATGGTATTACTTATTTAATTTGAGAAATTTTGTGATTGGTGTGCAAGCGGGAATAATGACCATTAATCCCTGCGGGAATAATATATAACATTATACTGACAAAATCACAAATATAATACTCACATTATATGTCAGTCGTAAATAAAGAATTTATATTTCTGAATGAGGCAAAATTTACATCATTTTTAGTACTTTAGTACAACAATTATAAGATTATTTCAAATCCATCATATTATCTAAGCTAGAGTTGGAGATAATAATGTTTTGTTATAATTTGTAGACAAAGCTTTGTATAGAAAGTCAAAATAAAAATAAAAGTAAACAAATTAATTTTACACAATGATCCATTGTGTGAAACGCTCAAAATTATGTGTTCACGTGTGTTTAAATAAGGCTCTCTCTAATAAATATGATTTTAGAGCTATGCAGAATTTAGGAAGAGGAAGAAGCTATGAACTTGATTACTACTAGCAAATGATTGTTCACTTTTTTTTGTGTTGTATAGAATGGAGCTCTTAACTAACTTGAAGAATGGGGTTGGCAAATATAGATCATGCTCCAGCATTCAGATTCAGATTCAGATTCTTTATTCATGCTAATGTTTAAAATATAAAACTTGCACAAGTCAATAATAAATAAATGTCCACACAATATGGAATTATAGATAAGTCACAAGATAAAATGACATTTACAAAACAATTATAAAATAAAATTACATATCAAAACAATTACAACAGATTTGAAAGAAGTCTAAAATACCTAAAATTAAAAAAAAAAAAAAAAAAAAAAAAAAAAATTTTTTTTTTTTTTTTTTTTTTTTTTTTTTGGCTGGCGACTTAAACTCAACCAACGTGTGAAAATTTTAGTGCATATTAATCGAGTTTTTAGTTACTTTGAAGTTAACATGTATTAGTGAAAGTGGTATCAAAACGTCCCTTTTGAACTGGATTATCAGTTAGACAAGAAGGTAGGCCACAATATTTTGCCATGTTATCCATATATCAAGAAAAATCCTAGTCGAAATATCCTACACACCAATAACATAAGGATCAATTTCCTGTGTGTGGGTGCCCCACCTATGCTATTTTATACGTCATACAGCTTGTCGCCAAACTACCGAGTTCCGAACAGTGCATATGAGCCGAACCAAATTCAAATCACTACTAGGTACTTAGTCTTCAATCTCTGCTATACGGACCACGTCCATTTCACCGCCCTATTTTTATTTCAAAACATCGCACCGATCCTTAAGTTTTGATATGGGAAATAACGACGAATTTTATAAAAAGTTAATGCAAGGTTTTAGTAAGCAGCTTTCTCAACTCAAAGAGGAAATAAAAGTGGATCAAGAAAACCTGAAAACAAATCTGCAGGATCAAAACAATAAAATATTACAAAAATTAGATACGCAGGATAAAGATTTCGTTAAACTAAGTCAAAGGTGCGAAAAATTGGAAAATAATTACATAAAAATCGAAAGGCAAAACAGGAAAAATAACATTATTTTATTTGGATTGGACATTGACAAATCAATAAATCTAGTACAATTCATTGTAACTAAATTTAAAGAGTTATTGGACATCGGACTGAAGGAAATCGACATTAACAATATTTATGTCCTAAGGGCCAAGAAAGGTACACCAATAAAAATTGAATTCACGACCTATTTAAAAAAATCCGAAGTTTTTCGATGTGCCTACAAATTAAAAGACACAAACGTTTATATTGCGCACGATATGTGCTTTGAAGACCGTCAAGAATACGATATTTTGAGAAAGCATTTCAAAAGAGGAAAAGAAACCAATCTAACTTGCAAAATTAAAAACTTAAAACTAGAAATAAACGGGACTTTGTACTCTGCGGAGCAACTTGAAAATAACCAAGAAAAAATATACAAAAAACTAAAAATTCCCCAAAGAAGCCTTTCAAACGAATCACTACCATCCAATGTTTTCGAAGAAGAGGCAACTCTTAAAGAACCAAATTTAGAAGAAAATTCCGACAACCTTTCCAAAAAATCGAAGAAAAACACACAAGATGACGATTATATAACATCAAAAGGAGTGAAAACAAGATACAGAATCCGAACCTAGTTTCTTCGATGTCACACTTTCCCGGTATTAATTTCTGTAATTATAGCAAACAAATCTCTTACTTATATAATTCTAATTTTTAAAAGCTAGCAGGGTATGGACAATACACAAAAATTGAAACTGGATTTATTCTGGAATTGATAACAAAACTATCTAACCTACATTTTTATAAAATAAATGTCTTTGACTGCAATAGTTTATGGATAAGATAAGTACAGTTAGTTTACATTGGTTGCTTGTCTGATTAATTGATTATCTATATTTTGTTACTTAAGCACATGCCTATATCATTTTAAAGTACTGTTTGTTATTATTTTTATAGTGTAATGCTGGACTGTATTTAAATATTGAGGAAGATAAATGGTTTTTCTTTTGGTATTTTTAGTGAAATGAATCTGTTTACTCGAGATTTTGCCTCTCAAGACATTGACGCAACTGACATAACAAACCAAATTTTTTTCAAAAATTACACTAATGATGAGAAGAGCTTGAAAATATTTCATTTGAATGTTAGAAGTATACATCAAAACTTTGACAAACTCTTGTGTTTACTGAATTCGATAGACCTTGATTTCGACTGTATTGTACTCACAGAAACGCATTTCATTGCCGACCAGCAGCTTTTTGAACTGGACGGTTACACATCTATATATAACAAAGGTTTATTGAATAAATGTGACGGAGTTATTGTTTATATTAGAGACACTTTGTCCTACACACAGAATTTTAAATTTATTGGGCAGGTAAAAGCAATAAATATATTTATTGAAGGCCAACTAAATAACAAAATTTGCTTAACATGTATTTATAAATCCCCAAGCATTGGAAAAGATATTTTTAATACCGATTTGGCTCAGTATCTCGAAAGTGTAAAACATAATAAAAATCACATTATTGTCGGGGACATCAATATGGACCTTTTATCGGAAAAACCAGAAGACGAAGAGTACAAAAACATTTTGAGCTATTATCATTTTATATCCTACATTAATAAAGTTACTAGGCCTCAGTCGAAAACCTGTTTAGATCACTTTTTGGTAAAAATGTGTAATCAAGACACTTTAGAAACTCAGCCAGAGTCATTTTTATTTAAACTTGATATAACGGATCACTATCCCATTGCGTTAAATATTTTAACCAAACAACAGCAGAAAACCTACACAAAACAATTTAAAAAATTTATTAATTACAATCAATTGAAAGGAGACATAGGTAATGAAAACTGGTATTCGGTGTACGCAACAAGTGACACAAACTCAGCAACCGATATTTTCTTAGATAAATTGCTACTATACATAAACAAACATACAAATACAGTACAAACAAGTAATAGAAGAAATGGAAAACAAAAATGGATCACAAAAGCGTTACTTAAAAAAATACAACAAAAACATGACTTATATATACAGCATGTAAATGAACCCCACAATGAGGAACTAAAAACGAGATATCAAAATTGCAATACTGAGGTTAACAAAGAAATAAAAAAATCAAAAAAGAGTTACTTAAAAAGACAAATAAATGCAAATAGAAATGAAAATAAAGCTCTATGGAACTGTGTGAATGATGTATGCAATAGCGGTAAAAAAACTAAAACCAAAAAAATTAAAACAATTAAACTTACTTGCGGAAAAACAATAACAAACGAAAAACAATTAGCAAATCATTTCAACAAGTTTTTTAGCGAAATAGGAAAGAATTTAGCCAATAAAATTACCAACCCTTTAAACATGAATCCAATAAACGAAAACTTCATTGAAAATTCCATGTTCTTACGCGAGACGACACAAAAAGAAGTAATTGACACTATAATGAGCCTAAAAAAAGGTAAATCGCCCGGTATTGACGGAATTAGGAGCGAAACTCTACAGGAGATTAGGAATGAAATAGCAAATCCATTGACATACTTGATTAACCTATGTTTCAAATCTGGAGTATTTCCAGATAAGTTGAAAGTTGGTGCAATTACACCAATACACAAATCTGGATCAGTTGAAGACACAAATAACTACAGACCAATTTCGCTAATCTCTAACATTGCAA